CTGGAAAACACAAACCGGGTACTTGGTTAGTGACCACAGGTCATCGACATGTCTGAGTGGTCAGTGAATGTCCCTGACGGTCATAGATCAGCAGATTATTCGACAAGACTCCATACGTCAGCCACCAGTATACTTATTTAGTTAGTCAGACGGTCAGTCAGTCAGTCAGACGGTCAGTCAGTGGATCAGACGGTCCGTCAGTTAGTCAGTCGGTCGGTCAGTCGGTTGGTCGGTGGATCATTCAGACGGTTAGTGGATTAGCCAGGCAGTCGGTCGGTTGTTCGATCAGTCAGTCAGTCAGTCATTCGGCCAGTCCGTCCGTCAGTCAATCTTCTGGGCAGTCAGTCAGTCAGTTGTTCGATCAGTCAGTCAGTCGGTTAGTCAGACATCCAGTGGATTAGTCAGTCGTGATCTCGTTTAGTCAACAATCATCTTCTTCAGCCAACAGTCGTCGTCTCCTTCAGCCAACAGTTGTCATCTCCTTCAGCTAACAGTTGTCATCTCCTTCAGCCAACAGTCGTCATCTCCTTCAGTCAACAGTCGTCGTCTCCTTCAGCCAACAGTCGTCATCTCCTTCAGCCAACAGTCGTCATCTCCTTCAGTCAACAGTCGTCATCTCCTTCAGCCAACAGTCGTCATCTCCTTCAGCCAACAGTCGTCATCTCCTTCATCCAACAGTCGCCATCTCCTTCAGCCAACAGTCGTCATCTCATTCAGCCAACAGTCGTCATCTCTTTCAGCCAACAATCGTCATTTCCTTCAGTCAACAGTCGTCATCTCCTTCAGCCAACAGTCGTCATCTCATTCAGCCAACAGTCGCCATCTCATTCAGCCAACAGTCGCCATCTCATTCAGTCAACAGTCGCCATCTCATTCAGTCAACAGTGGTCATCTATCTCCTTCAGCCAACAGTCGTCATCTCCTTCAGCCAACAGTCATCATCTCCTTCAGCCAACAGTCGTCATCTCCTTCAGCCAACAGTCGTCGTCTCATTCAGTCAACAGTAGTAATCTCACTCAGTCAACAGTTTTCATTCGGTCAACAGTCATCTCAATCAGTGAAGAATCGCCACCTCAAACAGTCAACAGTCGTCATTAAGTCCAGTCGTCACCTCATTCAGTCAACAATCATCCCCTCGGACAGTCAACACCTCATTCAGTCAACAGTCTGAATGATATCATTCAGTCAACAGTCATCGGTGCTAACTATACGTTTTTTTTTTTTAAATCACTGAACATGAAATCTTACAGTTCAAATTTAGACCTCTGCGTTTCACTTCTGTGTCTATCTGTCGGTCTGTTTACTCTCTGTCTATCTGTCTGCTGCCTGCCTGTGTGCTGTCTGACTGTTTGCCTATCTTGTATCTGTTTGTTTGTTTGTTTGTTTGTTTGTTTTTAAATCACTGAACATGAAATCTTACAGTTCAAATTTAGACCTCTGCGTTTCACTTCTGTGTCTATCTGTCGGTCTGTTTACTCTCTGTCTATCTGTCTGCTGCCTGCCTGTGTGCTGTCTGACTGTTTGCCTATCTTGTATCTGTTTGTTTGTTTGTTTGTTTGTTTGTTTGTTTTAGTATCCAGAAAACATGAGTTGTTAACCCTTAGGCTCGGTATTATTGATATCGCAACCTTCCGGCCTTGATTCCATTGTAAATACCGTAAATCTGGGAGAAATGTGGCTTTTCTGCCTACCCCCGGGAGTGAACCCGGACCACAAGGAGTTCGTCACCCGTTCACCGCGTAATCCGGTTTAGCCAACTACGCTAGCGAGCCGGGCGTATCTGTCTGGCAGTCCGCCTCTCTGTTTGTCATTTTTCTGTATGTCTGTTAGTCTTCCGTCTGTCCATCTGAGTTTCGGACAATACACATTCACAGCTCTGTTTAACATGCAGCGTGAGACTGTCTGTCTGGCCCTCGTGACTGTGTCAGTGTGTGCCCGTGCGTGTGTCAGCGCGTGTGACTGTTGTTGAACCCTGACTCCCAGCCGCGCAAAGACCAGACAAATGTGAGCGGCCATGTCAGGCCGACCCAGCGACCGTGAACTTCTGGGAACTCGAGTCCACGACTAGGAGCACAGTGACACCAGGATCCGAGTTAGCCTGCTCAATGGTGGCTGGGGTTCATCTGTGTTTAGTTCTCTCATTGTGTGTTTCTCTCATGTGTGGTTTTCTATTATATGAGGTTGTAAAAACAAATGGATCGAAGTCAAACACTTTGCAGAGAAGTAGCACCATAACAAAGCCCAAAACATGCATTGTCTAGAGTGATCAGACAATGTCACATTTCCGTAACTCTTCTAGCAAAAGTCAGAAGCAAAGTTCGCTAGGGAGATTCTTACTAAAAGTCAAACCAGATGAGCCTCAGCCATGTCCAAGCAGCCAAGAGAGACAGACAAGACATACACATCTCCGATTCCGGAAGATTTATCGGAAGGGTAATCTATTTCTAAACATTAACAACTCCTCCTCCTACCTTCTCAGCACTATCCTAGTAGGCCCAAGATCTTCCCAGCAACATCGCATACACTACCCTCTCAGTACCATTCCACACACGCCTATCTCATCACTATCCCACACACGACTGTCTCAGCACCATCCCACACATGACTTTCTTAGCACTATCCCACAAATGACTCTCTCAGTACCATTTCACACACGACTTTCTCAGCACCATCCCACACACTACTCTCTCAGCACCAACCCACACACGACTTTCTCAGCACTATCCTGCACAAGACTCTCTCAGCACTATCTCACACACAACTTTCTCAGAACCATCCTACACACGACTCTCTTAGCACTATCCTACACACAAATCTCTCAGCACCACCCCACACACGACTCTCTTAGCACCATCCCACACACAAATCTCTCAGCGCCATCCCACACACGACTCTCTCAGCACCACCCCACACACGACTCTCTCAGCACCATCCCACACACAAATCTCTCAGCACCACCCCACACACGACTCTCTTAGCACCATCCCACACATGACTCTCTCAGCGCTATCCCACACACGACTCTCTCAGGACCACCCCTCACACGACTCTCTCAGCACCATTCCACACACGACTCTCTCAGTACCATCCCACACACGACTCTCTCAGCACCACTCCACACACGACTCTCTCAGCACCACTCCACACACGACTCTCTCAGCACCAACCCACACACGACTTTCTCAGCACCATCCTGCACAAGACTCTCTCAGCACCACCCCACACATGACTGTCTCAGCACTTTCCCACACACGACTCTCTCAGCACCACTCCTCATACGAATATCTCGACACCACCCCACACACGAACTCTCAGGACCACCCCACACACGACTCTCTCAGGACCACCCCACACACGACTCTCTCAGCACTATCCCACACACGACTCTCTCATGACCACCTCACACACGACTCTCTCAGCACTCCAAGTGGGCAAACCACTTAATTTTAAAGCATGAATCCTGGATTGACATCACTGCCCTCGGGACATTCCCACACGTGTGCAGACCCCTTCTTCAGTAGCCAACGAAAAGCTGACATTCCAACAGTACAAGCTGCAACCTGATTGAAAGTGATCCTATGCAAACCCCCCCCCCCCCCCATTCCCCCCCTCCCCCCAGTGTTGAATATCTTTCGGAGCCTCTGCTCGCCCCTATCTTTCAGTGTTTGGATTCTCTATTCTACTGCACGGTCCGTTTGATCCTAGACATTTCCTGGCATTCAATGTTGGTTTTTCTGGCAGTCCAAGGTCTTCGCAACATTTTTCTCAAGAACCACATCTCACTTGCCTTTAAACAAACTTTCCCTAATTTGTTTGCTCACATTCCAAGATCCAGCACCATACAACAGGGCAGGCTCGATGTAACATTTCTGTACTCGTTTTCTGATGTTTAATGAGAGTTTAATTCAACTGTAAAATATCTGGCTTGTAAAAATAGTGAAATATTTGATTTAATTCAACTGTAAGAGTTTTGGTTCATAACAATAGTGGAATATTAGATTTAATTCAACTGTAAGAGTTTTGGTTCATAACAATGGTGGAATATCTGATTTAATTCAACTGTAAAATATTTGATTCATAACAATGGAGGAATATTAGATTTAATTCAACTGTAAAATATTTGGTTCATAACTGGAGGAATATCTGGTTTAATTCAACTGTAAGGTATTTGATCTACCAGAACGTTGGAATATTAGTTTAATTAAGACGTCGCAAATCTGGTTTATAACAATGGTGGAATATTTGGTTTAATTAAACTGTAAGGTATTTGATTTACTAGAACGTTGGAATATTAGTTTAATTAGGATGTCGGAGTTAAATTCAGATGTCGGAAATCCGGTTTTATATCAATGGTGGAAAAATTAATTGATAACATCTAGGAATTTTTTGATCGATAACAACTGAAGGAATTTGTCCATGTGACTTTAGATTTCTCATGTATTTATGATTTTATCAATTACAATTGTAGAGTTGCTGCGGTTTTCCCGAAGCGGCACATTTCTTTGAGCTTTGTCTTAAAAATAGAATATACAGTAACCGACACAGGCGTGAAAATTGTTTGAAAAACTGTTCACATGTGCAGCGACGCTTGGTGATTATTTTGATAGCCTATCCCACACACAACGTCAGTCTGATTTTCTTGAAAGGTTATTCCTTTTACTGTATGCATGCCGATTCTTCTTCTTCTTCTTCACTTCCTCTTTTACCGCTGTGGGTGTCGAATAAATATGCTTTGAATAAGATGTCTCTTTGTGCTGAGTGGGATTGTCTTATGCTGTAAGAGGGAGGCTAGCTGTCCCAATAGCATGCCGATTGTTCGGTTTAAATCAGTATCTGTTAACCCCTTTTCCCCCTCCCCCCGCCCATTTACCTTAAGTAAGGCAAAATGAAAACTGGTTGTTTAAATATAAAAAAAATTCTTGCAAAGACATAATTATTAACTAATCAAGTTCCTGTAAGATTATTATTAATTTTTTTTTTTTAAAATCAGAAGTAAGCAA